TCAAGCATCTTGAATGTGAGTGGCAAGGGGACTCACGATAATCAAGCACCCCGAATATGAGAGGCAAGGGGACTCACGATAATCAAGCACCCCGAATGTGAGAGGCTAGGGGACTCACAATAATCAAGCACCCCAAATGTAAGAGGCAAGTTGTGCGCTAGAATATAATCACAAAAATCAATTACAAAGTGAAACGTTCCACCCGTAATATGCGGTTCTTTTGTAATTAATTTTCGTGATTAAATTCTAGCGCACAACATCAGTATTTTGGCTCTTGTGTCCTTCCTATATCTTTTAATTTTTCCAATTTTAAAACCGTCAGAAACTTTTATTATTATTTCAAAAGTTGTAGGATTTCGAGAAAAAATGTTAACATTAAGATGCCGAAAAGTTAATAGTTAATAGTTTATGAGATATTTTATTTTATACTTAAAACTGTGAAAATAAAATATAAAATAATCTAAGTATTCAGTTTTCGACAATTTTATTTTAATATTTTTAAACGCAAAATAACCAGAGAAATCGATTTATTTTAAAGAAATTACATGGTTTTATTAAAAAAAATTTAAACTAACATTAACAGAGCTTTTCAAGGCCAATCTAAGATCAAATGTTAGCATCTCAAAATCTCACAGCGTTTATTCGAAAAAGTTTTTTGTATATTCCTTGATATCCAAGAGCTATACAACTGTAATAATTAAAAGGAGATACCCTCTATAATAGTTATATTTTATGTTCGCTGAGGATCTAGTTGTAAATACAATTTTAAGGGACTGCATACATAATTATTATAATAATATATGTAATATATAATAATATATAATAATGTATATAATATATGTAATAATGTACGATTATTTACCTGTTCATTCTGAAAAGTAGGAAATTAGTCATAATGCCACAGATATGAGCGCCCAAGGAATGTCCAACACAAGTTGTCTTTGCAATCGACAGACCAAGATTTCTCAAAGTCGTTAAAATATTAGCAAGACATTTTGCTACCGGTCGTAAATTCGCCACTGCAGCTGGATAACACGGCGGTGCCGATAACATACTCCAGTCGACTAAAAAAACATTATAACTGCCGTTCTTCAGATAAGCATCACGTAAAACCGCAATGGGCAAAGTGTCATCACCACCTGTGAATTAACGATAAGCTTAAATCTATCTTAAATACTTTTAAATAACATAGCTGATGCTTTTCTTAAATTTATAGTTATTTAACAACACTAATTCTTAATATATTATCTTTATAGAATATATATTGTGACGTGGCAGCCGTGGAGGCGCCCGTCTCAAGAACCCCGTACCGATTAGTGCAAATGTTTATCGCGTGCCGTGTCGCTAACGGTTTTTCGAGACCTTGCCGAGTATCGCGTTCCGTCGAATTGTTTGTTGTGAATATTTAGAACAAAGCGAAAAAGCGATTTTTGCGAGCGGAGCAGATGCGAAGGTCAGCGCGTCCCGAATTTTGTGCCCCTCGACGTCCCTTGCCGGCTATCAGGACGAGGAGCGGAGGACATCGAGGGACGAGGATGCAGCAGATGACCACCAGCGAAGCCCTTGCTCAGGTGAATCGCACTCTCGTACTTTGGTGATGCAAAAGTATTATCGCGAATTATCGGGCGCTCAGCAATAGAGAATATTCTATCGCTGAGAAGCTATCGTAGTTATAATACCGTATCGCGCTTAGACGGATCAGCTGTATTTACTTTCAGCGAAACAGCCGTCGCGAGAAACCCGGCAGGAAAAAACGGGAGAGCCGGGAGAGACAACCAAGCGAACTCCCGATGTCAACAAGGTCTCGAGACGAGAAGTGTCTGGAGACAATACTACCGAAATTTGCCGATTCTCGACGATCGACGACCCCAGGACGAGGGGGGTAGCGACAAGGGAGGATCCGCGAGAATACGCGATCCTCCCAGGAAGAAACAGCTGATAGCCTTGCCGCGACCATTGCCGCTAATAGACAGCCTTACCGCGACTACCGCCGCGCTCAGACGTATCGTCAGAGTATCCCGACAAACCTATAGTGCGAGAGAGAGAGAAAGAAAGAGAGAGAGAGCAGAGAGAGAGAGAGTACGGGAGTGAGAGAGTGCGGAGTGCGAGAGGACGAGGGAGCTGTGTGAACGCGAGAGAGCGGGGCGAGGGAGAGCGATCGGAGCGAGAGAGAAGACGAGGAGAGAGAGAGAGAGAGAGAGTGAGCGGAGCCGGAGCGAGAGAGAGAGGACGAGAGAGAGAGAAGACCGCCGTCGCTACCGTCACCGCTGACACCGCCGCCGACGCCAGGGTCGTCCTCGCAAACTGTAAGACTGACCATCTGCTTTAAAATTATTTGTGTCGCGCACCGTATCGTATCGTGTCGTGTCTCGTCCGCGGAGTGGTCGCGCGAAAAAAAAAAGGCTCGCCCGAGGAAAGCGTCCTCGGGCTTCGTATACCGTTTCGCGAATTGTACCGTCTCGCGGATATTAACTATCGGGACGTGCGAGAGTCCCCGAATAAACTTCTCATTATTACCGATATCGAGCCTAGTGATTTCGCTTCCTCCAACCCATCCCGTCTCCGACTTTAATTTAATAGAGCTACCGGTCCCGCCGGTTCCGGGACGCGCATCTTT